CTGTGCTTCAAAGCCGGGCATAGCACGACAAAGAACTCGCATCTTGCCACATATGTTGGGATGCTTTGAATGGCTGTCTGACGGTCCTGAGATGCGCGGTGATCGTGGCTTTGTGGGATGCTAAAGTAGTCATACCAAATGTGGAGATGGCCGGATGCGAAGTCTTCGGGTGTAGGGCCTCTTCCTCGACCATACACAATTTCTGAGAACACATCTTGAGAAATTGAGCTGGTTCCGGCAACGATATTCCTCAGTGCATCCTGCAGAACTTTCAGCTGCTGGAATTCTGGGTCAGGATGGGTGTCACGCAGCCACTGGTGCGACACGAACATTGCCTTTCCCAGGCTCTCATCAAACTCTGAAAGCACACCGGCGTCTGCGAGCTCCTCGTGCATCTTGACTTCTGTCATCTGCAAGAAAGCATCGGCGGGTACGGTGTACATCACAAAGGCGTGGCTGCCTAAGCTTGAGACACGCCTCTTCCTTGTTGAAACCCTTCTATGCCCGATAGACCTACTGGGCGCAAGTGTTTCCCACACAGTCACGAAATAGTCACTAGCCTCCTTTGCCGATACAGCATCTTCCACCACCCTGAGCACTAAGCCGGACAAGTTGCCTGAAATACTGTCTTTCTGCTTGCGCAGTGCCGACGCAAACTGCACAAGCGACGCGCTATCCATGGCAACTGAAAAAAAACTCCCTAGTGGCTACTCCGGAAAGGTTGAAACACTCGGCAGCGGGTCATGGGCTAAACTGGCCGCGCAATCTCACAACAAGGGAAGCGATGCAGGGGTGCGGTGCAAAACCCAGAGAAAACAAGGTGGACACAATCACATTCTGTTCTCCAGGACGAGACGAGCATTTTCTTCATGGCGCAAAGAGACAAGCGTAATGTCTTGAACTGGCCCACCTCCTCGAGGTTCCGCGACAGGTCCTCCCTGAGTGCAGACACCTGCACAAGTCGGCAGAGTTGGCTTGGAGATGCTTGCGACTTTCGCGACGAGTTGGGACGCCTCGGGGATTGCGTTGATTTCGATTGCCAGACTTCAGATTTCTCGATTGAGGCATCCACCATTCTTGAGCGCGGATGTCATGGCTTTGGACAACTCTCGAAGCCATGGGGACGCCATTGCAAGTACATTTCGCTTCTCCGGTAGAAGAACATGGGAACCCCTCAGACAACTGCCTGCCAGGTCGTTGGAGGTCGACGAGAGTTTCTGACGGGTTCCAATTGATTTCCAAAGCTGCCAAAAACCTATTGGGTGGTCAAGGCCCTCGTAGGCTTCCTGCACCGTAGGTCACAGTGCACCCTAAACCCAACCCTTATAAACCCTAATAGAGCCTAGACCCTTTTTGCCCTAAACATCCCTGAATCCTGTACCTTAGACCTTCACTATACCCTAAACCCATCCTCAACCCTATACAGACACTTTCATTATACCCTAAACTCTACACAGACACCATTGGAATAAAGCTTTCCTGGCCTCTGCCTCGATCGCGAAGAGACGCTTTTCGATCGCCGGGGCCGCCTCGCCGACATCAAACGCAATGCGGCGCAGACTTTAGTTTTGGGGGTTTGCCCATTTGACCGAGGGAGGTTTGGGTGCTCAAGAGTTTGAGATTCGTACAAAGCTCCAGTGATCTGCAGGTCGTTGGATGCTATATTAGTGGCTCCAAGAAGCACCTATAAGCATGGATTGGAGAAGGGAAGTCATTAAGTGGCTGGAGGGGGAGTTCGGTGGTTTTACGTATGTTCACGTGGATCTTGATGTGATTTGACACTAACCTACAGAAGAGGATTCAACGCGTTTGTGCAGCAGCGAAGCTGAGGCCTAGACCCTATACGAGCATTGCTCATAGACATCGGGAGAGAGCGCATGGATCCTAGATATGCCAGAAGCAAGAATATAAGGAGCTATCAGCGACACTTAAACTCCAAGCTGCGTGCAAACCCGACTATCCAAAATCTCACTTGCCCTGAGGTGAACCCTAAACCACAGGCTCTGAATGCATCGTTTCCGGCCTCGAAAAGAGTCGGTATCTCGGACTTCCCCTCATTCAGACAGACCTCCTCCCCTGAGTCAGCACAGACAAAGATTTCAACCACCACTGGGCTGGGCTTTTCGGCTTTGCAGCTTTTCGGGGGCTCTTGGGCTTTAAGGTTCGGAGTCGAGCGGTGAGTTTGCATTTACAGGAATGAGTATCTGGCTTGATCAAGACGATTGGCCTTTTTTGCATGGAGACCTGGTAGTGATGGCAAGGTCGCCGGTATTCCTGCGAATGCCACGATGTACTTGTGAACTTCTTAAGCATCTGTTGCAAAAGACATAACTCAGCACCTTGTAACAAGGATCTTGTACTGGTGACTGCTTGATTTCAACACTGTAAACAGCTGCCTGCCTGAGCGTGCGGAGGCGGTCTTCAAGTACTCGACGAACCCCTCACAGAAGCAGGAAGTGGGATGCATCTCTACTAGAGTTACTAGAGAACTACCACGCGCGGTTGGATATACAAATTTGTAGACTTATAGACTTTACAGAGACCCACCACAGACAACACCGGCCCAGGAGTGCGTGGTCCAGACCTTCTTCAGGGATGGAGTTTAGGATGCTGGTCCAGGGTTTAGGATTCGGGGCTCAAGGTTTAGGGCCTGGCTTTCTTGGTTCGGCTTTGGGATAAGGTCATCCATCATCAGCCTGATCCCCAAACACCTAATCCTGAACCGAAGACAGTCTCGTATATGGGGGGAGGTTTCCGAAAATAGGTGACCCTAATATACTACCCTTAATAGCATGATCTTTATGTAATAAGGACCCCAAAATAAGGTACCCTAATTTTCGGAAAGTCCCATATTGACCTAGACGACCAGAGCTAGCCTGCCGGCTCATCGCACTAGAAATCCACCAGGAGTGTGCCAAGAATCGTGCTACTGTCATTGAAAATCCCTACCCCTATAGAACCCTTTCACGAACCCCTATCCTTGTTATCCACACCCTAAGCCGTAAACCTCTTAGCCCCGAAACCCTAGACCCGATTACGCCAGGAATCGCTCCTTCAGCTCGGGAGGCCAGCTTCTGCTGTCGGGAACCATGGCTCCAAAGCTCGTCAAACGAAGCGAAGCTTGGGGCGTTTCTGGGGTATCATCTAAAATTGTCCAAGGAATCAGGATCCCCGTCTTGCGGGCTTCTCGGGTACCAGATTTCATGGTCCTTCTGATGAGGATCGGGTTTTGCTTTACGCCCTACTTGGGGATTTCGTGGGTATACGATTTCAATGTTCGCTATGATAAGAAATCTCGGGGTCTATACTTAGGTCCCTTGCTTTCTGAAACTGCCGTTGTAGGGTTTACAAACTGCACCGGGCTGCGGATTTGGGTCACACATCTGTGATGAGGGGTTCCACATACATTTGGCAAAGGATGAAATGTTTAGTTTAGGGTTAGGGTTGGACTGCTAGGTTCGCGCTCGATGGTTCCTTTTACAGGTTTGGGGTGGGAACGTACCCTGGCCATGGTAGCTTATCGGGCTGCATCAGCAGTAGTTGCCGACTGTTGCTGCTGAGGTGATATGGGTAACCGGATAAACTGTAACTACCGGGATTGCCTGGCATGTCGGCAGTGCTTGGCTGATCGTGGCACAGGCATAGGAGATGTGAACAGCCATCTTGTTTTGTCATTCGCTTACAAAGGTAAGATAATTAGAATATGGATCTGGTAGGAGCCTATGGTTTGGTTGGCACCGAAGTACAGGCAATGTTCCGTTAGAATTACGTACCGCTTCATCGAATAATTTCCACAACTAGGGCTATTGCATACCAAGTACCAAGACATCCATTGGCAGCATTCCTAAACAGCCAGTAAGTAGCAGCACGATGACGATGCTTCTTACTACCGCTGTTGCTACCATAATTTTCCGTGGCAAGAATGCTCCTGTCATGTTTGGTCATTGTTGGCGCTGCTGATGCCCATCTTTCCTTGCCCCTACTGGAAGCCTTGGAACACGGTTGTCGGCTGCATTGGCAGCATGCTTGTCTCGATTACAAGTGCAGTGAGTTGGTATTGAGCTGCTACTTCACCCTGCTGGCTTGAACTCATGTCTAGTTGTTGTTTACAAATGTAGAGTACTCTTTACTACTGTTCGCTGGTATTCCCGTCTGTGAAGTTTCGCTGCTACATCTTGCTACCTCCTCCCGCTCACGGTTGCTTCGTTCTGGTGGCTTTTGTACCACTGCTGGCCACTAGCGAGTTAGTCGGATTGCTATTGGTGTCTGTTCGGGCAGCATTGATACTTCTCATCTCGCACCAGCACCTGCCATTATAATCTTGGTGCATTGGTAATGACTATATCTTATTGGTCGCATTCTCGCGGCTGCATTTTCGCATGACTCCTGGGTACTCGGCCTACCTTCATTTCTCGTTTTTCTGCTATTGCTTCTGTGCTAGTGCGACTGCTACTGCTGCCACTGCCGATGCTGCTGCTGCTCCTACGACCACGACCACGACAACAACGACGACGTTTACTGCTGCTACTACCACTCTTACTACTCGACCTACTACTACTTCTACTACTTCTGCTCCTAAACTACTACTGCTGCTGCTGGTACTACTACCACCACCACTACCACAATTGGTTCTGCTCCTGGGCAAGAGTGTTATGCTGACGTGTGCATGCATCCGCCGGTGCTGCTGCTATCAATGAAAACCCTTAAGCCCTCCATTTGCTAGTGCATCTGGTACCCTGTTCAGATTACTATCATCCCCAGGGCCTGTCACTTCCATGCTGCTTTCACCCTTCTCGAGGAAAAGATGGCCTGAGCTAGATGGTGGTCTTTTCTTGCATTGCGTGGGTGTGCGTGTGTCTCCGTGTTTTGCGTCACTGGATGGTTGCAGGGCGCAGCGGGTCAATACCAGGGGCCGCGATTCCGAATCAGCATTGAGGTCTGAATCTCTGGAGCATACACCCATCAAGAGCCCACCGTGCTACCCAACCCCTACCGCTTCGAGCATGTTCAATCCTCACACTAACGCCTCAAGCCATACTGGAATAAATGAGATGCATGTAAGTTGGATAACATCAATAGCATATTCTGAAGTAAAATAAAACTGCAAAGAATATAATCTAATTCAATATAGTATCATTGCGTAACATAAGATTCTATATAGTAAAGTATATAATATAATACGTTATAATAGAACAGAACATAGTTTAAAGTCACATAGTGTAATATAGTAAAGTATAGTATAGCAAAGTGAAGTAGCATAGTACAGTAGAATCTAACATAGTCTGGTACAATGTAGTATAGCTCGGAATAATTTGCATACTTATATAGCATAACAGAACATGGTAAAAAAAGAAAAAACAAAACACAAACAGTAACATGTTATCATATCATACAACGTAGTACAGTATACGATTTTCCTTAATATAACAGAATAGAAAAGAATATAGTATAATGGCCTGGCATACTACACAATAATATATTGTAAAACAGTTTGGTACCATGTAGTATCATGTGATATAACATAATACAATACAATACAGCACGGTACAGTACACTACACTACACTGCAATGATATGATATGACATGTTATGGTATGATATGACACAGTATACTATATAACTGACTGTATAATATAGTATAATGCCGAGGTCCCAGCCCTCCTCCTTGAGCCGGGCTAGCATCGCAGCCGAGTGCAGTGCGACTTGGCCACCTGCCGATACACACCAGTAGAAGTCTATTGTGGCCATTGATATGTCTACTGTTATATGGACATATCGTACATGTATACGCACAAACATACATGCGAAACATCACACAAACACACACACACACACACGTGAAAACGAAGTTCCGCAGGGCACCTATATGTGTTCCTGTATCCGCATGTGTGTGTACATATGACATCCTGTAGGCAAGGAGCTATGTACACGGAGAAGTCGTCAGGTAGTGCAAACTTTTGAGCGGCACAGGAGCCAAATTCAACATGAGTTGGGCTCACGGGGTTGGGTCCGGGCCAGGAGTCTGGACTTACGTGAATTCCGATTCGGTTAAAAGTGTGCAGAGGCCGGGCGGGGAATTGAAACGTGGTGCATTGCAGGTGATGATTTCTTTTGATACAATATGGCATGAGACCCAGATGCCTTGCAGAAACTAGCTTGACTGCCAGCAAGACACCATTTACGCCAACTATCAAGACCCAACTCGCGAAAGCACGAGCCACCTAAAGAATGGCCGACAATGACCACATTGATCGCGTGGCTCCCTCTTCTTTGTGCCTGCAACGGAAGCGCTACCAAGCAACGGATTCTGAGATTCTCTGCACTTCTATTCGATCGTGCTGTCTTGAAATCGTGCTCTTAGTTCGCGACACCGGAGACTAAAGCAGCATCCGCAAGTTTGAAACTCTCATTTGCACAGAGTGTAGAGGCATCTGCGACTCCATGTCGGCACACAACAACGTCCACCCATTGAAAACGGATCAACCATATTTCTGGTCACAAGTCTAGAATCTAAAAGTTAACATGTACCTGGGTAGGTATACCTCTCTCTCTCTATATATATATAAGGTACAACACAGACATAATATATGTATATATATATATGCTTATATAACTTATATATATATATGCACGCACATACACAGCAAACATGTACATGCAAAGCGCATAGTTGCAATGCTTCGGGTCGAGGCTTCTTATGCATCCGCTTGGCCTGCGGGCTTGCGTGGGTTAAGGTGTAGTTCAGTTAAATTTAGCAATTCTTCAAGCTCCCGTAATGGAAACTCTAAGCCCCAAAGATCCGCAATTGAGCCAGTCTTGACCTTCGGAAACTTGCCTCGTCACTCCGGGCACCAAGCCGGAATTGGCAACACTTGGTTCGTCAATGAACATCGTACGAATGCTTTCGAACAGCATTCTCCGCAAAGGGGGCTTGTTTCCGCTTTGCCTGGATACTTGGTCCTGTCAGCATGAGCACCTCACCATCATCGCCATCAGCGGAAACACGGCTTCCAAACAGCATAATCTGAATGCCCATTGCTGCCACAATACTACCTGAGTAACCGAAGGTGTTTGCCGATCATAAGGAATACTGTTTACTAGTTACTAGGGAAAGGCTCAGGCCACTAGACTGCGTGTGCTAACACCACGAGCCCCAACCGCCTCAATCCAAACCCCGCTTGAACCCCACCAAGCCGAAGCCTCAACCGCAAAACTTCACACCTATCGCACCCGAAGCCGCGAGCCCAAAGCCTGCTTGAGCGCGTGTTGCAGAACGTGGCAAACAGCGTTGAGGGCGTATGCCATCGTCGGGCACCTGGCGAATTTGATGTTAGGCTCCTGCATAATCGGTAAAGAGTCTACACTCACTCATCAGGTAATGCTCAATTCCGACCATCTGCAGAACGACTCTTTCCCCTTTCTCTTTCTCTGCCTGCTCCTCCTCTTACTACTCCTCCTAGTTTCATTCCGACTCTCCCATCAGATAAAAGCGATATATATATATATGTTTTTGCATGACAACTGCGCGGTTACCACGTCTGCCGATCTCCGCGGCAACTGGCGAGGGGTCGCGCTCGCGATGCTAAAGTGGGGCTTTCCATGAACTCAAGCGGTGACAAGACAAGAGCAGCTTTCAAAATGATGGTAGAGTTTCCATGGTCTTATCCACATCATAGCTTTCCCTCGCCTCGTCGCTATGATCGCGTCACCGTCACCGTCACCATCACCATCATCATGACCATTTCCATCATTTTCTGACTCTGACCATGGCAAGCATCGACAGGAAGTCATAGGGACGAGAACAGCAAGAAGATGCTAATTATGTACTGTGACGACCCTCTCCTTCAAACCAGGTAGGACGATGACACAACAATGTCGACGTGAGATTATATGTCCTAGAACAGCAGCGCAGTGTGAGGAAGCTCGGGCCTCATGTTGCGTTCGGTCGTCAGGTTTCAGGTGCGGCGCGTAGGGTGCGTTCAGAGCTGAGCAACGTCAAAGTTCACTGTGCGGAATGCTGCTAGGCTCTTTGCTGTGGTTACACACATAATAAGCTCTATTCACTGCATTGGTCCTGACTCTCAGGGTTTTGGGAGATCCTCGCACAAGTGAAATTACCGCGGCTGCGTCGTACTTCAAACCTTTGGGTGATCCCCTTCTTGTAGCCACGGCCCGGCTTCCGAACCATGCAGTTCGGATTCTCCAGACAGTAGCAGGTAGCGGTAACGGTTTGGGTTTTGGGCTTTAGAGCTGCAGCAGATGACGAATCCCTGTTCGACTCGCGATAGTCAAGTGGTAGCGAGCACTCACTGTTAAAAAATGGGATCTTGTAGTAAACGCGCAAAGCCGACATAAACTGCCAGGAGCAACGGTACACGTCAATGGCTCGACCGAGCTCTTGAAGCCTCCAGGAATCTAAAGGCTTTCGCTTTCAGGGGTTAGGGTTTTCCAACGTCCGGGCATGTTATAATTCATGGTAACGATGAGGCTTGTACCTGGTGTCGTTGGATCTTGCAAGGTTTCAGACGGGTCAAGATAAGAAGAACAACATTGATTTACACTGCTGTTGACTCTGCTTTGGGGTTATGTTCGACTTGAGACCGGACATGAGATGTCCGTCGCATCGCTCATGCCGACGGCCGACGGTCTTCAACATGGAGCACAAAATAGAATCCTGCACCTTCCCCCCCCCCCCCCCCCCCTCCAACCCCCCAGCCCTGCACCCGCAAACACAGCGCGAAAAGAAAAGCTTCGGTGATGTAATCATAGGGCCGTGAGAGCCTAAGTGCAGGGTACCTTACCAGGCTCAGGAGTTTCCATTGCCGACGGTTCAGCAGCCTGGGGCTCGGGGTATCTCGGGGCAGTCAGCCACCCTGAAAACAGCGACACGAAAAAACAAATCTTGCTAACACACGGGCCTTGATAGTTAGACTAGGGTCTGGCTTACATTGTACTACATGTATATGTATGTATGTATAT